GTGCCCGGCTTACTTCATTTAACATAATGGTCTGCTGTTCCATCCATGTTGCTACACATGACAGGATTTCATTTTTTTTTTAATAGCTGAATAGTATTTTATTGTGTTTATATACCACAGGTTTTTCAAATCTATTCATCTGTTGATGGGCATTTATGTTGATTTCATCTCTTGGCTATTGTGAATAATGTTGCAGTGAACACAGGAGTGCAAGTGTCTCTTCAATATATTGATTTCATTTCCTTTGGGTATATACCCAGTAGTGGGATTGCTGGGTCATAAAATAGTTCAATTTTTAGTTATCTGGGGAACCTCTATCTTGTTTTCCACAGTGGCTGTATCAATTTACATTTCCACCTATAATGTAGGAGAGTTCCCTTTTCTTAGCATCCTCGCCACCATTTGTTATTTTCTGTCTTTTCAATAATAGCCATTTTAACTGGAGTATGATGATATCTCATTGTGGTTTAATTTGCATTTCTGTGAAGATTAGTGATGTTGAGCATATTTTCATGTGCCTGTTGGCCATTTGTATGACTTCTTGTGAGAAATGTCTGTTCAGGTCCTTTGCCCGTTTTTAATTTAATTTAATTTAATTTAATTTTTGCTTCTGGCCGGTATGGGGATCCAAACCCATGACTTTGGTGTTATAAGGCTGCACTCTAAGCTTTGCCTGTTTTTTAATTGGGTTATTTGGTTTTTTTGCTGCTGAGTTATTTGAGTTCCTTATATATTCTGGATATTAGCCCCTTGTCTAATGTGTAGTTTGCAAACACTTTCTCCCATTCCATAGGTTGTCTCTTCATTTTGTTGATATTATCTCTTGCCATGCAGAAGCTTTTTAGTTTGATGTATTCCCATTTGTCTGTTTTTGCTTTAGTTACCTGTGCCTTTCTAGCCTTGTTCAAAAAAGTGCTGCCCACTCTCACTTTGTGTAGCCTTTCCCCTATATTTTCTTCTAGTAGTTTCATAGTTTTGGGTCTTAAATTTAGGTCTTTATTCCATTTTGAGTTGATTTTTATGTAGGGTGAAAGATAGGGGTCTAGTTTCAATCTTCTGCATGTGAATAACTAGTTTCCCCAGCACTATTTATTCAAGAGGTTGTCCTTTCCCCAGTGTATGTTCTTGGCACCTTTCTGAAAGATGCTTGTCGTAGATACATGGATTTATTTCTGGGTTCTTTATTCTGTTCCATTGGCTGATTTGTCTGTTTTTATGCCAGAACTATGCTGTTTTGGTTACTGTAGCTTTATAGTATATTTTGAAGTCAGATAGTGTGATGTCTCTAATTTTGTCCTTTTTGTTTAATGATTGCTTTGACTATATGGGATCTTTGTGGTTCCATAAAAATTTTAAGATCTTTTTTTTCTATTTCTATGAAGAATGTCATTGGTATTTTGATAGGGATTGTTTTGAATCTGTAGGTTGCTTTGGGTAATATGGACATTTTGATGACATTAATTTTTCCAACCCATGAACAGGGAGTATCTTTCCATTTACTTATGTCTTCTCCAATTTCTTACACCAATTTTTTATGGTTTTTGTTGTAGACGCATTTTACCTCCTTGGTTAAATTTATTCCTAGGTATTTCATTTTTTTGGTAGCTGTTGTGAATGGGATTACTTTCTTGATTTTGTCTTCAGATATTTCATTATTGATATATAGGAATGCTCTTGTTTTTGTGTTGTCTCCTGCCTCTATACTGAATTTATTTATTAGTTCTAGTAATTTTTTGATGGCATCTTTAGGGTTTTCTATGTCATCTGCTAATAGGGATAGATTGACTTCCTCCTTTCTGATTTGGGTGTCCTTTATTGCTTTCTCTCGCCTTATTGCACTGGCTAGAACATCCAGTACTGTGTTGAATGAGTGGAGAAAGTGAGCATCCTTGTCTTGTTCCAGAGCTTAGAGAAAAAAAAACCTTCCGTTTTTGTCCTTTTAGTAAGATATTAGCTGTGGGTTTCTCATGTATGGCCTTTGTTGTGTTGAGGTACATTCCTTCTATGCCTAATTTGTGGAGTGTTTTTATCATGAAGTGGTGTTGGATTTTATAAAGTGCTTTTTCTGTATCTATTGAAATGATCATTTGCTTTTTTTTCTTTATTCTGTTGATGTGATGTACCACCTTTATTAATTTGTGTGTGTTGAACCATCCTTGCATCCCTGGGTTGAATCCCACTTGATCATGGTGAATGGTCTTTTTAATATGTTGTTGGATTTGGTTCACTAGTATTTTGTTGAGGATTTTTGCATCTGTGTTCATTAGGGATATTGGTCTGTAGTTTCCTTTATTTGTTGTGTATTTTTCTGGTTTTGGTATGAGAGTAATGTTGGCCCTTGGAGGGTGTTTGAAAGTATTCCCTTGTGACCTAGAAATGGGATGTGGCACTTCAAAGTGGTTTTTTTTTTTTTTTTTTTTTGCCAGCATTCACAGCACCCTTCTCCCTTGCAGATTCCAAGTAGCTTCATGCAAAGTGTGCTGCTGTGGCTTTGCCATTTCTGGGTAACTGCTCCATGCCATATGCCATGCTGGTCCAGAGAAGAGCTGGGGCTGGGTCTGATTGGATGGTCCCTACTTCTGCTTGCTTTGGCTTTCCATGCTTTCACAGACTCAGCAGGTCTCTCTGCCTCTTCCTCCATGTTCCAGTAATTACAGGATGGCAGTTTTTGTGGTTTTTTTTTTTTTTTTTTTTTTTTTTTTTTTTTTTTTTCTGTTTGAGGGGAGAAGAGGGGGGAGGTGGGGGGGGGGGGAGG